TATAAAGAATGAAATTCTTTGTAGTTAAGCAAGGGCTTCCTTGAAGAAGCAGATCTTAAGTCATTTCGCAGCCACAGTGCTTGATAACCTTGATTTTCTGCATGGCGGTTGGGTCTGACTCTGCCGATGTATGATCAGGGTCGTTGAGCCACCATCTCTGCACATCTGCGTAACTATAGTGATGATATCTGTATGGAAATAACTGCATCACAAGGCAGCACATGAGGTTTTAGAAAACTGATAGAGTTATGCACCACAGGAGCTTAGATAGGAGGAGATCGCCCGTCGGGTGTCAAGGATGTCATCGTGGAAGAGATGAACTTGAAAGCTGTTTCACGCCGATCATTGTTCCATTTCTAATAGAGTTAGGAGAGTAACTGGTCATTAAAAGACCTCTTTAAACCTCTTCCTTTCCTTTGGCTAATTGGGAGTGTGACGTCATGGCTAGAAGTAACAGGTCTGCCATGTTCTCAGTAAATGTTACCCATCATCACTGGTAGGTACACTCTCCTTCGAAACTCAGTCTTTCCTCGCTCCTTCAGAAAGCCTTTGCTGGAGACCAAGGTGTCTTGAGTTGCCCCCTCCTCTTTATTCCTGTAAAAACCTGGCATTACCAGAGTGCTAAGCTGTAAGGTCGATTTCTGTTGTTGCTTTATTACCTCTCTGTCTCCCTTGAGATTATAAAGGGTGTATATTCCAAACTTCACATTATTTCTGGTGTCTGAGGCTCAATAAATATTTTGTGAAATGACTGAACACAACGAAGATTACATTCCGTATAAGAAAAGGGATACAGGGTTGGTGACAGTGACGACGGAGAGAAATGGGTGGCTTCGGGACATGTTTTGAGATAGAAGTGACAGGGTTTCATGATGGATTGGATGTGAAGAATGAAGGAATGGATAAACCAAACTTGAATGGCAGTGCCCTTCATGGACATGCAGAGACTGGCGGAAGGAGAGGCGGTTATATAAATGCTCTCTGAGAAGTCTGGCTCGCTTGAATAGAGCTGTCAAGACAGGCACTTGCATATGAGTCCGGAGCTCAGAGAACAGATCGGGACAGGAGATACAGATCAAGAAGTCAGCATGTAGATGGTTTTCAAGGCTACGTAGCTGGATGAAATTGCCTTGTGAGGGAATGTAAGTGAAGGAAAGAGGGAGCCCCCAACCAGTCTTGCAGTGAGAGTGCAGTGGTCTGGAAGAGGTGGGATGGGGGGTAGGGGGAAGGCGAGCAGAAGAATCTAGGGAAGAAGGGAAAACCAGAGGAAACTTTCTCAAGGGATCGCCAGTTGGGTCAAATGCTGCTGAGGGATTCAGATGGAGAGTTAGAAGTGACCGTTGAATTTGGCAACATATGATTGTTAGTGACCTTGACTGTGCAGTGGTGGGGTCTGGAGGCCAAGTAGGAATCCGTTCTTCCAGACTGGGAAGCAAGGAAGTACAAATCTGGAGGAGCTGGAGTTTTGAGTAGCCTGCTCAGCAGGAGGGAGTCCTGTCTTTGAGCATCGCCACATTACTTCATCTGGTTCCAAACGGAACTCATGCACTGCCCTCTGATATCTGTTCCTCTTCCTGAGTGTTCTGGTTTTAATGGATGCGCCTTCCTTCCAGGGGTCCGGACCGGAACCCTCCGGGTGAACGTACTCCTCTCCTCCCTCCATGTCTCCCCGAGGGATCGGTTGCCGAGGCAAATGGACCTCTTCCTGTTCGTTGCCTTTGCCACTGATGTTGCTCTTCCCAGGCACTAATTAGCTCTTCTTCAAACCCCTCCGATAGTTTCCTGAGCGCTGCCTGCTCTTGTTCTTACCCTTGTCACTGGATCTATCCATCACAGCTAGAACGTTCTTCCCAAAGCACAGCTTTGCTCATGCTGTCCTGCTAAAAATAACCAGATCCTTTTAGCCTGCCACTCGGAACCCTCTACCTTTTTAACCTTCTCTCCTACACCTTCTGTTCGCTCAGCCTGCCATCCAGGGTTTGTTCTTCCCTAAACACACAACCTGCGTCACGCGGCCTCCGTGTCTGCAGGGTCACTGTCATGTCTGTTCTGCTCGGCACGCCTTGCCCTCCCTTCTCCTGTGTCGTCTGCTATTTCCAAATGCTTATTACCCCTAATAAATGTGGAGTCCGCCCTAAAAACTAGGAAATTTCAAGGCTTTCAAAGCCACTGCTTTACTTTGTCAGTTCATTAAAAGTTCCGTTAACACTGGCCGCCTGGGTGGTTCAGTCGGTTAAATGTCCGACTTTGGCTTAGGTCATGATCTCATGGTTCAAGAGTTCGAGCGCTGCGTCAGGCTGACAGCTCGGGCACCTGCTTCGGATCCTCTGTCTCTCTCTCTGCCCCTCCCTTGCTCGTGCTCTCTCTCTCACAAATGACTTAACATTTTAAAAACAATTTTAAAGAAAGTTCCATTAACGCTGATTTTTCCTTTAAACCACACTTCTCCTTCCCTTTGCTACCTCAGCCAGCCTTCTATTTTAGGAAGTGGGTGCAGGAATGATTTACTGTTCAGAAGGAAGTTTCTTAAAGCGTTTACGAACAGTTGTGGGTCATGATATTCTGCAAATAGAGGATGCGTACCCAGAGCGCGCTGCTAGGTCTCTCCCCTTTTCTCCTGATGTGCGGAGGCGGCCCGAAGCTGGGGAGGTGAGCACGGGCCTCCTAACGAAGGGCAGCATCCCTGCATCCAGTGGCCACCCATCAGCGAAATAGATGTGGAATTTTGTGTCTTGCTTGTAGCTGTTGCGTTTTGGGGGTGTCGGGGGGAGGGGAGGGGATAAAGTCTCTGAAATTATTACTGTTGCGCTCCAGCTTTTGCAAACAGAAGGTGCCTTTTAGGAGTTTGCTCACTGTTGCACATCCCGAAAGGCGGAAGGCCATGCACTCGAAAGCTTAGAGTCAGAGAGAGTCCCTTGTGAGAGTATGGAGCTGAGGGCCCCGTCATCTTTCCACCATCAGTGGGCTTAGAGAATCGCTCGTGTGAGGGCATCCGTAGGAAGGGAATTGCAGGTGTCTTTGCAAGATGCTCCCTTAACATCTTGCCTTTCAGCGAGGTACTTTGAGCTTCATCCCATCATCAGAGGATAAAGTAAGTCTTAGGCATGCTTAACTTGACCTAAATAATCTTTTCAGAATGAAGTGGGACTGAAGGGAAACAATTGCACTTTTTTCCCCCACAAAAGATGGGCTTGAAAATACCCTCCTTGTCTCAGTGAACTATGACGCTAGAGCGTTGTTACGAGGAGTCTGTGTTTTCAGAAAAGAGGAGGGAGGTGACCATCTGATTTCCGAGCCTTCCCTTGGCTGTGACAGGCGTATTCTGTGTTTGGCCTTCCGGCGGGCAGCCTGCCCGTCCCCTCCACCAGCTGTTAATTGTAGTCAACTATTTTGGAACATGAAGGGTATTGTAATTAGTAGTGTGGAAAGTGGATCTGAGAATTCAGAATATCCCTAGATTTTAGTAAAACCTAGAGTGCAATTAAGATGAATGTCTCCTATTTTGAGGGGGATAACAAACTTCTACTAAATAAATTCACTTCCCCCAAATTGCTTTTTATTATTACTAATCACGATGAAACATACAGTTCTAAAATTATGAAGGAAAACCTGAAAACAACTTGCCTTGACTTCTTTGTCAAAAACGCTTTGCTTTATGGTTGTTTATCTGTTTTCTGCTTTGGTACATTTCCCCAGGAAACTTGGTATTTCAGGATCCTTAATTGACACTGACAGAATTACAAACCAGACAATTTCCTGGAGGCTTGGCCCTTTTGTGTCAGGATGAGCTATGGACCTCCGTCCTTTGATAAGTGCTTTTCTCTTTCATTTAAAAGAAGAAATAATGGCTCCTATTCTGGATGACTTTTAACTAAGGATCTTAAAAATCTATTATTTAACATTGATCAATGGAGGAAAAATTGTTAAGTGCTTTTATAAACTGACTCATACATATGAGATGGTTCATAGCTGGCATTAAAGTGCTTTTTTTTTTTTTTAAATAAGTGTTTTTAGTGTTTTAATTCTTTAAATCCTGGCAGAATTTTTTAAAGCTATGAATAAGGTAGTAGCAGAAAAACTGAAAATAGGTAGCTTTAGACTAATTGTATTTATAATTTCAGTAAAGCTTATGTGAACATCCAGAAATATTACTCTGGGCATTTATTTATTTATTTACGTAGCTAGTTAGTTAATTTGATTTATCTTTTTAAGTAGGCTCCATGCCTGTTGTGGAGCCCAGCATGGGGCTTGAACTCACTACCCTGAGATCATGACCTGAGCTGAGATCAGCAGTCGGATACTTAACCGACTAAGCCACCCATGTGCCCCTCTGGGCCTTTAAAGTATATAAATTTTTATTATAATCTAAGAATGGTTTTCATTGGGAATAAGTTATTTTAAAACCACAAATATGTTTTCTTAACAGAAAACAAAGCCAGACTCTTAAATACAGAGAGTAACAAACTGGTGGGGTGGAGAGATGGGTGAGATAGATAACAGGGATGAAGAGATACAAATTTCCAGTGACAAATTTTTTTTAATGTTTGTTTATTTTTGAGAGAGAGAGAGAGAGAGAGCGCGAGAGCGTGCAAGCACGTGAGCAGGGGAGGGGCAAAGAGAGAGAAAGGGAGACACAGAATCCAAAGCAGGGACCAGGCTCCAAGCTCTCAGCACAGAGCCGGACATGGGGTTCGAACTCACAAACCATGAGATTTTGACCTGAGCCGAAGTTAGACGCTCAACCGACTGAGCCACCAAACGCCCCCAGATTTCCAGTTATCAAATAAATAAGTCGCTGACATGAAAAGTACAGCATAGGGAATGTAGTCACTAATATTGTAGTAATGTTTGGGGACAGATGGTTACGGCATTTATTGCGGTAGCCTCGAGTAATGTATAGAGTTGTGGAATCATTATGTTGCACACCTGAAACTAATATAACGCTGTATGTTTATTATACTTCAAATAAATGAAATTTACATGTTCTTTTTTTTCTACAGGAAGGAACTTGAAACCTTCAAAGGTAATTTTGTGTTTAATTCTCCCCTTTAAAGTAAATGAGAGTTAATCGATGTCAGATGTTCTCTCTTGATGATGAACTCATTCCTTTTTCTCTAAATCAGACAGTTTACATTTTAAAAAAAGTTTGCTTACTACTGTTTCTATAAGTTTTATTTAATCACAAGTAGTTCTGATGCCCACTTTGAGCTGTAACACGTATACTAAGTGACGGTTCTGTTGGTGACCATTATAAGTGATATGTTAGGATGGCGTGGCCCCACCTTCAAGGTTATTGGGAGTCCCGGTTTGAGAAGATTCTGGTTTCCCTTGTGCAAAGTCTGGGCCGCGTGGAGGGGGCAAAGACAGAGATGTGCTCTGCGGTTGATCTAATAGTCACTTGGACTTCCAAGAGGTTTTCAGTGCTGGGGTCTCCTCTGCCACTGTCCTGTCTCTTACCTTTTTCAGGCTTAAGTTTCTCCATCTGTGAAATTAGCAGCTCTGCTGAACTGTTTCCTGAGAGACCAAAAGCACTGCCTTTTCATTTTAGGGAACTTTCAAAGCCGAGGCACTGAAAACATAACCCCTGGTCACCTTGACCCTTCCTGGTCATGGAGAAACAATAGGGAAAAATAAAGAAGACCACACTTTCTAGCAGCTCAGAGCCCTTCCAATGGGCTGTTTTTCACTGATGAGCAGTTAAGTAGTGGAGTCGCTGTTCTCAGAGACTCATTTCAGTAACTGGGAAGGCTTTGAATTACTGCCCTTCATATTACACATTAAACTAGTTTTGTGCTTGTTACATTTCACATACAAGCCGGTATTGACGATTTACTGAATGATTGAAGATTTCGGAGTACGTTCCTTACAGTCGAATTGTTTACGTGTATGATCTGTTTGGATGTTTTGGGAAAATGACTGATCTTCAGGCTAAAAGGTATAAAGGCTCTTCCTGCTGCGACTCTAATTGAACAGACTTGTTTTGGCCGGATTTCTCTTTGACGGACTCTAGTTACAGTAAATGATTGAGTTCATGGTTGTGTCGAGGGTAATGTTTAGTGATCATGTGATACAATGTGTTATCGTGGTTTTCATTATTCCTAATCCATTTGTGCAGCGGGACGCATGCACATTATTTCATATTGGTGGTTTAAAATAAGATTTGAAATCCTCCTAAAGTGTTCTTTTTCCCTTTCATTTAGTTGACTAGCATCTTCTTATATAATATTAGGGGAAGGAAAAAGGCAATCAAGTTAATATTGAAAGACAGGCCGGGACACAGATGATGCAAAATGTCAACTTCACTTCTGTCTCAGTACTGAGGCCTTTTTTTCTTTTCTTTTCTTTCTTTCTTTTTTTCTTTTTTTTTTCTTTTTTTGTATGACGGTGTTCACAGCAAGAGACCAGCCGTTTGCAACAGATTTAGTAGTGTTACATATTACCCAAGAGAATTATTTAGTTTATGCCACAGTATGTTATTTACACACACGCGCGCGCCTAATTATGATATAACATTTAACAGCACATCTCACCCACCCCTAGGCCAATTAAAGCTCTCAAATTTGAACAAACCCTAAATCAATTATTGCATCGTATCTAGATTTTTTTAGTACCAATATTCATTCAAATAGCTTTCCTCTTGAGTGTTTCGCTAAGATTTCAGAAGCACGGGTAGCATATAACAAGAAAAGAGAGAAATGGAACTGCTCTTGCAAGACATCGGTGGAGGAGAAAGAAAGAAAAATACGAACAAATTCTAACAGTTTGTTTTTCGCACATTGTCTTTGTTTTTCCTTTATAGGTTACAGGAAAGCCAAAAGATGTTTCTTCCTCTAATTGTCTTATTCAACTCCTGTACTTGTATTTGGAAGCTTTTTTCTTTTTTCTTTTTTTCTTAAATAGTTTATTGTCAAGTTGGTTTCCATATAACACCCAGTGCTCATCCCCACAAGTGCCCTCCTCCATGCCCATCACCCCCCTTCCCCTCCCCCCATCAGCCCTCAGTTTGGTCTCAGTATTCAAGAGTCTCTCATGGTTTGCCTCCCTCCCTCTCCGCCACTAATTTTCCCCTTCTCCTCGTCCATGGTCCTCCATTAAGTTCCTCCTAATCCACCTATACATACAAACATATGGTATCTGTCCTCTGCCTGACTTATTTCACTCAGCATAACACCCTCAAGTTCCATCCATGTTGCTACACATGGCCAGATTTCATTCTTTCTCATTGCCATGTAGTATTCCATTGTATAGATAAACCACATCTTTTTGATCCATTCGTCTGTTGATGGACACTTAGGTTCTTTCCATGTTTTAGCTATTGTGGAGAGTGCTGCTATGAACATTGGGGTCCATGTGCCCCTGTGCATCAGCACTCCTGGATCCCTTGGGCAAATTCCTAGCGGTGCTATTGCTGGGTCATAGGGGAGTTCTATTGTTAATTTTTTGAGGAATCTCCACACTGATTTCCAGAGGGGTTGCACCAGTTTACATTCTCACCAACAGTGAAGGAGGGTGCCCGTTTCTCCACATCCTCACTAGCATCGATAGTCTCCTGATTTGTTCATTTTAGCCACTCTGACTGGTGTGAGGTGGTATCTCCGTGTGGCTTTGATTTGTATTTCCCTGATGATGAGTGGCGCTGAGCATCGTTTCATGTGTCTGTTGGCCATCTGGATGTCCTCTTTGGAGAAGTGTCTGTTCATGTCTTCTGCCCATTTCTTCACTGGGTTGTTTGTTTTTTTCGGGTGTGGAGTTTGGTAGTTCCTTATAGATTTTGGATACTAGCCCTTTATCTGATAAGTCATTTGCAACTATCTTTCCCATTACATCAGTTGCCTATTAGTTTTATTGATTATTTCCTTTGCCGTGCAGAAGCTTTTTATCTTGAGGAGGTCCCAGTAGTTCATTTTGCTCTTAATTCCCTTGCCTTTGGGGATGTGTCAGGTAAGAAATTGCTGCGGTTGAGGTCAAGGAGGTTGTTTCCTCCTTTCTTCTCTAGGGTTTTAATGGTTTCCTGTCTCATATTCAGGCCCTTTATCCATTTTGAGTTTACTCTTGTGTATGGTGTGAGAAAGTGATCTAGCTTCATTCTTCTGCACGTTGCTGTCTAGTTCTCCCAGCACCATCTGTTAAAGAGGCTTTTTTCCATTGGATACTCTTTTCTGCTTTGTCAAAGGTTAGTTGGCCATACATTTGTGGGTCCAATTCTGAGTTCTCTATTCTATTCCATTGGTCTATGTGTCTGTTTTTGTGCCAATACCATAGTGTCTTGATGATGACAGCTTTGTAGTAGAGGCTAAAGTCTGGGATGGTGATTCCTCCTGTTTTGGTTTTTTTTTTCATTATTACTTTTGCTATTTGGGGTCTTTTGTGTTTCCTTACTAATTTTAGGATAGTTTGTTCTAGCTTTGAGAAGAATGCTGGTGCAATTTTGATTGGAATTGCATTGAATGTGTAGATTGCTTTGGGTAGTAATGACATTTTAACAATATTTATTCTTCCGACCCATGAGCATGGAGTGTTTTTCCATTTCTTTGTGTCTTCTTCAGTTTCCTTCATAAGCTTTCTATAGTTTTCATCATATAGATCTCCTATATCTTTGGTTAGGTTTATTCCTAGGTGTTTTATGATTTTTTTGTGCAATTGTGACTGGGATCAGTTTCTTGATTTCTCTTTCTTTTGCTTCATTATTGGTGTAGAAAAATCCAGCCGATTTCTGTACATTGGTTTTATACCCTGCAACTTTGCTGAATTCATGGATCAATTCTAGTAGGCTTCTGGTGGAGTCTGTCAGGTTTTCTATGTCGAGTATCATGTCATCTGTGAAAAGTGAAAGTTTGACTTCTTTGCCAATTCTGATGCCTTTGATTTCCTTTTGTTGTGTGATGGCTGATGCTAGGACATCCAGCACTATGTTAAACAACAGTGGTGAGAGTGGACATCCCTGCCGTGTTCCTGATCTCAGGGGGACAGCACTCAGTTTTTCCCCATTGGGGATGATGTTAGCTGAGGGCTTCTGATAGATGGCTTTTATGATGTTTAAGTAAGTTCCTTCTATCCCAACTTTCTCGAGGGTCTTTATTAAGAAGGGATGCTGTATTTTGTCAAATGCTTTTTCTGCATCTATCGACAGGATCATATGGTTTTTATCTTTTCTTTTGTTAACATGATGTATTACATTGATTGATTTGCGAATATTGAATCCTCCCTGTAACCCAGGAATAAATCCCACTTGATCACGGTGGATAATTCTTTTTATGTGCTGTTTCATTTGATTTGCAAGTATCTTGTTGAGGATTTTTGCATCTGTATTCATCAAGGATATTGGCCTGTAGTTCTCTCTTTTTGCTGGGTCTCTGTCTGGCTTGGGAATCACAGTGATGCTGGCTTCATAGAATGAGTTGGAAGCTTTTTTCTAAGTAGCTCACTTTGGAGAAAAAAAAATAACTAACTTGCAAAGTTTGTGGTATAGATCAATTTCATCCAAGTTCTGGATTCTTCCTTCTGTTCTCCATGGATGTTAGTGAGATTAGTTCCCCTTTCACGGGTTCCACATGTGGCACATTCCTACAGTATTACTGAAACTGGTAAATTCATTGTTTTGTTTTACATATTGGCAGCAGGAAGATTTTCTGTGTTCCCTGAAGATTGCCTTTTTAAGAAACCTTTTAATGAAAGTCACTTGAGTAGTAAACAATCGAAAAAGGAGAGTAGGATCTCAGAAATCTTAGTTTAATTTTCTTTGGGGAAGGAATTCCATTTTCATAAGCATGTGTAGAATAAGTTTTTCACAGTCCTTAAAGACATACAAAATTTGCCATGAATAGACATGCCTCTTTATTGGGCTTATTTATCATTTTTACATTTTAATTTTTAAAACAGATTATTGTTCCATGTATAAATCTAAAGATCACTCTTAAGATTTTTAAAGGAGTAAGTATTGAAATATTGTGCCGCTTACCTCCATAATTCCTAACTTAACGCGGCTCTACTAGGCAGGCTCGTTCTCCTACCTTCACTAGGGCG